GGAGAGCCATCTCTCTCTGACAGCTCACTGTTTACTCCCATAGGACCTGTAGCCTGGATCTGCATTTGCAGCTACAGGCTGCGCCTCCATGCCTTCTGATGATTAAGCCATCGTAATGGTAGACAAAATGAAATAAATAAATAAATAACAGCAAACAATACCAGGATAGTTATGACTTCACTGAGGATCATCTGTAGCGACAAGTTTGTGGTCGAGCATGAATATATTTCTCAAGGTTTCTCATCATCATTCCTGCGGCTCGCGAGGCCTGTTTAGTGAGCGGGATTAGTTTGTCTCTGTGCAAACAAGCTTCTTAGAAAACGTGCAAAGGCCGGAGTTAACAAAGAAACACTGGGGGTCTCCAGGCTGTTATGAAAATAAGACCTTCTCTGCGTGATGAAAATGTATTTGTAATCCTGGAACTATACTGTATCAATAATCTGAGGGGCTAATATTGTTGGATGACACTCTGCTCTCTCGTTGCTTATTTACCAATGTGAAACTCAATTTCTGCGCCTCGGCCTGGCCCCAATCCTCTCGCTGCCTCTCTCCTTTATCCATTTTGCATGCTCTCTCCCCCGGTTTTCTTGTGATTTCTGCACATTCATTTTGAGATTGGAAAGTGTAAATCAGTTTTGACTTGTCCTCATGGTCCTTGCCTTTGCACATGACGATATCGGCCGCGCTGTTTGTGTTATTGTTGTTGATGTCGGACATCTTTGGGACCTCCCCGCCCCTCTGTAGACGACATGGACCATAAATCCTGTTTAAAAGCAACTGTGTGTGTGAGAGCCTCTATCACTTCTCTAAGCAGATTTGCAAAAACAGCCCATCAGCCCGTGGTCGCACTGTAAATGGACAGATATGAGGGGATGAAGAGGGTGAAGGGTCCCATAAGATATTATTGTAACTGTGTAGTCGTGGATTATCACTCCTGTGCAGTCATGTGTTATGTGTGTGTGAACCTTTATACCTGTCTTTGTGAGGACCACTTACAAAACTTATTAAGGGAGGACATTTTGCTCGGACCTCACTAGGGTGTGGCTCTGGCTGCAAATTTAACCAAACTCAACCTGAATCCAACAGATATACTGTTTTTATATCCAAACCTAATCTTTATAAACAGATTCTCCATGTGAATATGCAGAATGTGTGGACGAGATGAGGGGTTGTATCCCATCTCGGTTCCATTTCTAGTTTAACGTTTGAGCAGGCTTTGGTTATTTTCAGGTATATACAGTCCCTGTAGACTGAAATAAATTGGTCAACAGGGTTTTAATTTGTCTGCATTCATATGCATATTGTTTTTATTAGAGATTAGTCAAAATTCTTATCTTTTGTGTGGGGACATTTTAAAGTGTTTGTGTATTTGTCTGACTGTAAACAGTGAACGACCAACAGAAGACGTACACCTGGACGCTGTCTACACCAGGAGCTCCAAAATATTGGCTGTTGCCCACATAGGCTATTTTGTCCTCGGATGACAGCCAACGGGCTCAGAGATTGGTCCACACATGACCCAAGCCTGATGGAGTTAATGTCAGCTGAATCGCTCTGTTTGTGTTACTCTGTCACTCTGTTGTTGTTACCATGGTCACAGCTTGCCTATTTACCCTGATCACACGTACGCATTTAAATCAATCTCTTCAAAAGGGAACATTTTATTCAAGCTATATGTAGATTCTTTTCAGTTGACCTAATCAAAAATCTTTTAAAGGTTCAGTGTGTAAGATTTAGGTGAAAGGGATCTATTAGCAGAAATGTAATATTAAATATTCCTAGTGATGTTTTCACTAGTGCATTTCATCTAAATTGTACGAATTGTTGTTTTTTTTACCGCAGAATGAGCCCTTCATATTAAATACTTTTATTTACATATATTATATTTGGCTCATCTCTACGGAGGCCACCATGTTTTTTTACAGTTGTCCAAACTGGACAAACTAAACACCTTTTGAGTTTTTATTCCTCACAACTTGTTTGAAGGTAAAGACTTGGTTTTAAGGTTGAGGTTTTAGAATTGGGTTTAGGTCAGGGTTTGGTTCAGCAGTGGAGCATTTAGTTGCATCATTTTATGTGAAGGTATGGGAGTAGGGAAACTCTGTGTGTGTGTGTGTGTGTGTGTGTGTGTTTGTTTGTGTGTTTGTGTGTGTGTGTGTCAGAAAGAGGGAGAGATAAGAGAGAAAAGGGGTTGGTGGTGACTGAGGGGAGAAGGGGGGTAACAGTGTAATGTGATGCGTGTGTTTCACTCAGTGTTGTCACTTTGTATTAATTTTAGAGCGAGCGGTGAAGAGTTCATTACACACTGATGAATTATAGATTAGAGTTAAATTAGAAATAAAATTAGACAATAACATATACATACATTGTCCCTGCATACAGCTTCTCACTGTTAATTAATTTCTAGTGCAAACAAACTCACATGAGATGTCTCAATTTTACTACTTTATCTTTTGATCTTTTCATTTTAGTTTTTGCTGCACATGTAAAGCACAGTGCTGTGGTTATTACACTGGGTTGGAATACATTAATCATTGAAGTGTATGAATTTTACATTCTTCGCTCTTGCATGAACATGATGATGATCAGTTGTTAGCAGTTGCTGCATAGTGATGAAATCAGTTAAGCACTTATTTAGCTTCACTAAGGGATCGTTCAGTGTATTCCCCTGTTTGACACATGAATAAAAAATGATGAGAGGGATGATACAAATCTTGAAGGGAAGGTTTTTGAAGATTTGGGTGCTATTCAAATATTTATTTTAGCGTGATTCTAATTATGGCCCATCCTTGTGTGTTTTCTAGAAATAGTGATCCATAGCGAAGCTGCGGTGACCTCTATGCTCCAAGGTGGTCATTCCTTAGCTGCAAATCTAGGCTGGTGTGCTCATAGTGGCACATGCTAACTTGTCCCGTAGAACACCCATGTGTCTTGTTTGAAGTGAGCTTGGCTTTAGGAAACAAACTCCAGGTTTTCACATCAAAACCAAGAATCAAACCCCCTAATGGGCACCCCACTGCGGACTAGAATTAGCGGGCTTACTTCTCTAAACGCAGGCACCTCAGAGGATAAGAAAAAGGGTGGGGAACATGCGAGGTAGGGGAGGAGTACAGATGAGAGGAGGTAGTGCAGATGAGAAGGGGTACAAAAGGGAGGGATGGTGGAAGAGGGGTAAAAGAGGGGATGGGATTAACCAGGAGGGAGGTGAAGGAAAACCAGCCAGGATTTCATCTTGCACGCGTCAGTGGAAAAGTAGGACTACTTGTACCAAGCAAAACGTTCACTAGACGGTCTGTGTGTGTGCTCGACGCAGCGAACAAGATGGTGCTTGTGTGTGCAGGATCGCATGCTTTCATTCTCGTGTGTAAACGTGTGACAGACATGAAACAGGACAGAGAGCCTCTGTAGAGACAGACAGCAGTCAGTGCCTGCAGCAAGCTCAGAGCTCGCAGGGTAATGTACACTCGCTCCTCGACGTACCAGAGAGAAGGTGACACCAGTCAATCCCATTCTGACAGGGCAGCTGAGATAATAGCGCGCTTTGATTCGTTGCAATAACTCCTGCCAATCAAAATGAAAGGCATAGTGATTGCAGGGAGCCAGGGAGTGTGTGTGTGTGTGTGTGTGTGTGTGTGTGTGTATTTGTGTGTGTGTGTGTGTGTGTGTGTGTGTGTGTATGTGTGTGTGTGAGAGTCATAGGGGCTTACAATATGCAAAAGTATTGCTAAGAGAATTAGATGCAAAATGTGTTTATGTGTTTTTTAGACATGTCTTTGATTTTATGTTATTAATAAAGAGAAAACACAAGATGTCGATGGAAGGGGAAACAATTGCAGAGCTTCTACAGATCATCTGTGCTATGATAATGTCTGCAGGGGGTGAGTGTGTGTGTGGGATGAACGTGTGAGAGACTTGGCCCATTTTTTGACAGTTTGCTGTCAGGGGTCAGCGGGCGCTCTCTCTCTGCCCATGCAAACTGCTCCGTGCGTGTGCATGCATGTTGGGACTGAGGAGTGAGTGTGAGGCCAGGGGAAGGAGTCCTTCAGGTGGAATAAAAGCATTACTGCACTGGTAGGAAGGTCAGCTGTAAACTTGTATCAGACTGGTGGTGATCACCCTGTGCAGCAGATCTCTGAGGTATTGAGCAGGCATGCTCTAATGGCTTTGATATATGGACTACAGGACTCCCTGAAGAGGTCAATACCGTAGCACTTTGTCTCTATGAGCAATGACCCTCTCAAGCTCCATTTAGAAGCATTATATCTGCAGGAAATAGGCTGGAAAGGCCTCGAGCACAGGCATTTTGAAAGAGAACTAATATGAATGAAGCCTTTTCTAATCACTTCTTCTGTGCTCGTCGTTCCAATCAATCATTAGTTATGGTGGTATAACCATAATCGAAGCAGGTTTTGATGTGGTTGAGAGAAGAATAAGAGAATATGAGTTGAGCTGATTTATCGCTACTGTATTTGCGAGGGCAATAACGCAGTAAAGGCCGTTTAGTGTTTCATCATTACTTCAGAATCTACTGGCTCGCAGTGTTTAATGAGAGTGGCAGATGAAATTTGTTGATTTATCCTCAAAGTTGTCCGTGGTTGTCTGTGAAAGACAGATAAATATTCTTGTAGAAGGAGAAAATAGAAAGCACAGCTGACAGAACAGAAAGCTGTGTTTGATGCTGGCCAGTTTCTCTTAAAATGCATGCAGAGATAATGGCCGCCATCACGGCCCCTTCGTGAGTGTATTGATTTGGAACCAACCTTTGGTGAAAGAAGCCAAATACTGTTTATGATTGTATACTGTAATTGGGATGAACAGATGTTGCAATATTTTTCCGCTGCGCTCAATAACAAGACTTCTTGTTCTATTTTTTCTCCTCTACCCTGTTATTTCAATCCTCCGCTTCCTTTCATTTTCCTCCCTGGCCCCATCCATCTCTCCTCTCCGCTGACCTCACTACCTTTCCACCATCCTTCCTCCATCTTTTTCCCCTCTTCCAGATTCTGTGCGCTGTGCTGTAGCTGTGCTGAGTGACTAAGTGGAGCCGTTCAAGCCATGGAGGATATGGACAGCAAACCCTACCAGCCGTTGCCTAAGGGGCGCCATGAAATGGAGATGTCCTACACCAGCTCGTCTGACGAGAGCGAGGATGGCCGTGCCCACCACCGCTCCTACACCTCACGTGAAACCCTTCCCGACTACACACACGAGCTGCGCCTGACCCTCGGTTCACACCGCGAAAGACAGAGCAACTACAGCCAACCACAGCCAGGTACGGCGCCTGTCAGGGGTCAATGTATCTACCTTTAAACATGTGTCCACATTTGCACATTTACTGTATGTGGACACAAATGGACACTGGCACTAAAAGACAGACAACACACACACACAACTGCACACACAGACCGGTCTTAAAAGGGCCTATGTGAATTACCTATTGCAGTCCACAATGAGCCAGAAGGACAGTCGGAGGCAGCCAATTACCACTTCTCCACAGAGGTGATATTTCTCTCCCACAGCTAAAGTAGGTCAACCCCAAACCTCCCTGGCCTCACCTGGGGTGGAACACCACCCTTCATTGCGCACACACTAGCAGATACAGACACAGGTGGACATAGGCACATGTACACATGCACAATGTCACATACACACAGAAAAATTCTTCCCTGCTGGTGACAGGAGGAGAAATGGGGTAGCGCATGCTGTGATGGATGGCCTTTATGCAGGTCATGTGTGGTGTTAAGAGAGAAGCCGCACCTCTTCAGGAGCGCGCTGCTGTGCAGGGTTCAGAGTGATCAATAGATACTCTTTCCACTACCCCAACCTCCTGCTACTCCGCAAGACCTACCCACCATGCTAACAAGCAACATTAGCCATTCATAACAGTTACGACTCTTGACAAGCAGGTCGCTCAGGGGATTTCATGGTTTGAATGCCACCTGCTATGGATTTTGTCGTATTGTTCACCATGTAGCAACCCGTCGATGGCCATTAGTCATCATCATGTTCGATGGACAATATTACGGCGTCAAGGGGCACTTGCCTTTTTCGACAGTTACTCAGCCTTTCTGTTTCCATAACAAACAACATCCCCTGCCATCAGTGTCATATGGTAAGGTGCAAAAGACCCCCAAAGCAGCCTTTGAAATGTCAATGGCAGCCGCTTCTGTGAAGCACATCTGTTCATCTTTGGGCAACTGAGCTATATATAGTATACCCTACCTAAGTAACCAACTGTTAAGGGGGGACACAGCCTCCAGTGACATTTTTAATGGATTACAGTGTTCCTGACAAAGATCAGCCAATTCATTTCTCCTCTAATTCCCCACCCGCCTTCTTCATATTTTCCCTTATCTTTTAAACTCTGTCCTGTCCTCTCCTCCCTTCCTTTTTTCTTTTCTCTTCTCTTCTCCCAGCTGTTTATTTTCTTTAACATTACAAATTCTTCTCTGTCCATTTAATCCCACATGATCCCTTTCATTGCCCCATCCCTAAGTCTCCTTCAATTACAAAGATACAATTGATAAATGGACAGTTAGTCAGCTAGATCCACAGCTCATTAGTTTGTTTTCCTGCTAATTAACTCAGATTAATTAATTCAACAATTTGATTCCCAACATTTTGTTAACAAAGCCAGAAATCGGTTACAGTACACACATGTTTAAATTATTCACAAGCAACAGACTTACAAGCATTTGATCTCCTGTGTATATATGGTCCTTTCCATAAATTGTTATATAAATATAGAAAATTTACAGAAAAAAAAAATCCAACTTTATTATGTTTCCAAATATTGAGAATAAAAAGAGAATATAAAATGTTAATTGCTATATTATTAATAAACAAATACACTACTACTAATTATGTTCTATCTTTATTTTTATAAGAAGTGCAGCGTCTCTTACTAACTTATTTAATTCTGGTGTCTTTTTAATATTTACATCATTTACTGTAAATGTTTTTTAATCCACATTAATGTCTATAGCTCCTCCTTTTTGGCTACATCACAGGATACGGCAACCTAAATGTAGACTGACATACAAAACATGGGGTTAAAAATCTGAGTAGGTATTTCGTGGGTCCAGATTTACTGAGTGGTAATTTAGATAAACGCATAATTCGACATTCATTTAACATATCACCACAGAACTGCAATAACAAACGTTTTTGATAGAAGAGTGCTTTTCAATACCTACAACATAAATATTAGTTAAGATGACAACCCTAATCCTAAGGCCCGTATCTTTACCTTCATTTGTGGATATTGTTGTATTTTTCCAAACAATATACAGCTAATTTAGCACAAACCATTTGGCACGTTTTCAGGGCCCCTGTCAGTCTGGGACCCTCAGGCCTAGTTTGGAGTTGAGCCTCGGTGAGGGAGCCCTGTCCCCCCCGTTCACCAGTGGTAATTACACCCTTGGGTAAACAGAATTTAGATGTGTTTATCTTCCATTACATCCAAGACTGCATTACAGTGAAATTACAACCCAGACTGTTTTGGCAGATATTCACAAGTGCTTTGTGTTATAGCAGAGTTGAATACATAAATTGTTGATCTTCTGCTGAAGTGAGTCGGGAGCGGCAAACCATAATGGCAGGAAATGGGAAGTTATTCAAAAAAAAACTGATTTCCCCTCTAATCGTCTACTAAAATGCGTTCTGGTGTTATAATGTGTTTGGAAACAAAATTTTTAAGGTCAACTTTTTCTAGTTTTACAGCCAGTCCATGTTTGTTGCCACAAGGAAATGGCCTGTTTGCTCCTGAATTGCCCTCTTGCAGCCAATTTGAGCTAAACACAAGAGCGTGTAGTGGTGACCAATCATGTCCTGGTTTAATTCTGGCAGAACAGTGTGTGAGCCACTGATGGTCTTGACCCCATCAGAAAGGCACAGCAGGATACGTGGCTGGTCAATGGAGTGGTCAACAGGACTGTGGCTTTTATTGAAACACTGCGGTTTGTGTGTGGAGGACCTGACCTAACAGAAATATTAACTGCACTAAGTGAGAAGGAGAGGAAGTCTTTGTCTCCTTCCTCTGCATTCACTGGAGTCTTTTATGGTACCTGGCTACTGTGGTTTCTCTATAGATTTTGATTTATTTCTTTTAAATTACATCAGTTCCATCACTTCCACTCATACGGTCCAAACAGAAAACTTGTGTGGCGAGGAAGAAAATTTACTTAACTGCCTCTGCAGGAAAAAAAAACTAGAGCTCAATTGAATTGAATAGAATTGAAGTGTAACCAGAGGACTGAGACAGTATATCTGATGTTCTCAGATAGCAGGTTAATGCTCAGGATTGGAGGGTGTTCTAATACCTGAAAGCATGTGAGGCTCAATTTTTCTCTCAGTCTGAGTCAATATTAATAAGGTTTGATCTTTATCTGATCCCTTCACCCCACCAAAGAGAATATAGATGAGATCAGTGCACTGTTTGAGCAGCAGTTCAATACATCTTGAGCTCAATAACACACATCATGAAGCCCAAACAGGATATAGCTGCACTGCAAATGGTTAAGAAAAATCAAGGGTGGCATTTTGATTTGCACGTCTGCTGCAAAACTTTTAATAAATGCTTGCTCAAATAACAGTCTATCTCTTGACATAATTTGGGAGGTGCTCAGAGTTTGGCTTGTGAGTGCCTCTCTCAAACAAACACCTGGTCAGATTAATTGCTCAGGCAAATAAATACACACGCTGGCTTTAGAGGCTTTGCAGCTCTAAGTCTATATGATCTTAATCTGCATGTCTCTGCCTCCTCCTGCAGATTTAGACTTCTGCCAGGCTGGGCAGATGAGGAGCCCTGACTACCACATCCACCAACAGCAGCAGCAGCGTCAGGAGGAGGAGGAGGAAGCGCTGTGCACCGGGCCGGTCACTCATGTCCATAGCCGCGCGTACTCCCTGGGTGTGGGCTCCGACGTGGACACGGAGCCCGAGGTGGACCCGTCTCCCGCTCACGGCCTGCAGCACATGTGGATGCGTGGCCTCAAGTCTGAGCAGAGCTCCTGCCTGACGAGCCGCGCCAACTCCGCCCTGTCTCTCACTGACACTGAGCATGACAGGAAGTCCGAGCCTGACAATGGTGAGTGCAAACCATCTCTTATTACATTACATACATCATTAGGGGATTGTCCATCAATGTGCAAGAGGCCCTAGGGGAGATCAAATTTTATTTTAGCAGTTAATGTCGTCCAGAGTGTTTTTTGTGCACCACTTTTCTCCTTGATTGTATTTCTCATTATACCCTCATAGTCTCATAGTATAAAAAGAACATTTCCGCCAACGAATGCAAAGAAAAACAATATTTAACATTAACTTGTTTCAAGGCTTAAGTTACAGCCTTGGGCAATTACATGATTGAAGCTCTCAGTTCTTTAACTAAAGCAAATGCTTAAGTTCTTCTCTCTTTGAACGCTCTTTGATGTGACTAAATACAGAAAATGTGCTATTGGTTATTTAGTCTCTGAAGTGAGCTCGAAGTGGAGGTGAAACTGGGGTTAGCTGAGGATGGAGCGTGAGGAAAGGTCCAGTGACGAACGGGAAAGGGGATTGAATATCCATCGAAAGCTGAGGCAGATTTTGGTTTATGGCTTGAAGGGAAAGGAATTGTAGGGGTCAGACATCTACGGTACCTGACTGGCTGCCTGAGGGCAGCTGACAACCAACTCTGTGGGAAGACTATACCCTGGAAGTAAGGAGAAGTTGAGAGGCGGAGGTGAAGATATGGGGGCCAACTAGAGAAGAGTCTGGGATGGTGCCAGCTATCTGTCTTGCACTGCTGGGCTTGGCTGGGCTCCCTGCAGATAGAGAGTTAGTTAGAGGTGCACACAAACAAAGACAGAGCTCTCCAACCCATCCCCAAGGGCACTGTCTGTTTATGTGCCGCAAAAAGAAGGTGGAACGTATTCACTGGCTGGAGAAAAGGAAGGATGATAGAGAGAGAGAGAGGGGCAAAAAAGAGAATTAGAGAGGAGAATAATAAGAGAGAGAGAGA